CACACACACACACACACACACACACACACACACACACACACACACACACACACACAACACTTCCTGTCTAATCAGCGCCCAGTGAGGAAACCTAAAGTTTCCCCCCCGGGGAGCAAAGGGGTCGTCATGCTCTTCAGTCAGTAGCTCAGTTTGTTTTTGTTACGATGACCTTTGGTATGTCTGAAGCATAAACACCTCCCAAAAATTCAATTTAGCAGGTTTTAGATGGTTAAATTCTGTACATGAAAAGAAAAATCAAGTTTTATGGTGTAACTTTTCTTTGGGTGAGTGTAACATGCTCATCATTTCCCGATCTATAAACCAACAGTTAACGCTGTGTGCTGTCCATTAAGAGGATTTCTGCTCTGTCGGTCAACCATCTGTCGAAAGGCAGAAAGCGTACGTCCAGACCTGAGTCATGTGCCTGTTCTTCAAACCTGATATCTGGAACCTTATTAGTTGATAAAATGCAAAACAAAAAAAATAATTCCTCCCGATGCAAATATTGCATGAGTATCTTTGTTGTCATTGTGCGATTAACTGTGTCAGTGCTTAAGCTGTGACAGGGCATGCAAATGTATGATACTTAGACTTTGCTCTATTACCTCCCACGATGTCTGCAGGCATCTATGATCCTGATCAGTCAGCCAGTGGCCTTTTTGATATCTTAAAGGGAGGAACCGAGCGCTTCCTGACCAACATAAAGGACACTTCCTCTAAGGTCATCCAATCAGTAGCCAGGTAAGATACTCCAACCTGCTTACCATGAGTATCATGGTTGTATTTCTACACATTTGAATTAGGTCTACGGATCAGACGGCTTTAATTGCGCTTTATTCACACAACTGGACAGTATTTCTTCCAAACACGGTGTGGACAATGTTCTCTGTGGAGTTGACTAAACATTTTGTAGAGCTTCTCACGTTTTGCACTGGCTACTTTCACACACAACTCTATGTATTCCTTAATTAACCCTTTTAGTTTCACCACCTCGTTAGTACTCCTGTAAGGACGTTTGCAAATGGCATAGCTATATATTTCAATTGTCAGCTGTCGTGTTTCATCAGTATCATCAAACTGAAGTGTAGAAATGCTGTTGATTCATATTATTATATACAAACTGATATAATCATTCATAATCATACCTACCCTGCCCTCAGATCTACTTTTAAAAGGAACATTTTGCTACTGTTTGAAATGTGGTTCCCTGTCATCGCTCTCTGTGCGAGGATGTAATATCATCACATCTATCTTAATGGTGTCTTCAGTCAGGACACGCGGGGTGTGACTTTGCGTACCTCGTTCCTCTTCTTCGGGACAAATTTAGCTGTAACATCTTGTTCTTGTGATTCTCCCTAACAACCTTATTTCAAGCTGTCTCTCTTTGACTAACCTCTGCAAGAATAAGTGGGTGGATGGTGGGAGTTTTAGTCTCCTCAATTAATTGACATATGGCTGCATATGTATTAAAGGGTTGAAAAGGTGAAGCAAAGTGTTCCTTTTATAGCCCCTCTATGTTTCATTTGGTTATATTCTCTCATCGGTTTGTTCCATTTGTTTGGTCGTTTTGTTTATTTTTGTTGTTTCTTTTCTCTGTCCCAATCCCTCATGGTCCCAATATGTGTCCATCATCTAGCAACCCCAGGTAAATATGGGTCAGTGAAGTGCATCGACTCAGGCGTTGCTCTGTGTGTTCCACCATTTGTGTTTAATTTAGAGGAAAAACCACAAAAAAACACGAAAATCACGCATTTTGTTTTTGCTGTGTCCGTCATCACAGCTTGCTGATCCTAACATCACACATTCAATAACTGAGTTGAATGAATGCAGAGGAAAAAAAGGACAGAGATATTTTTCACGTTTAGCTGTCTGGTCTGAACGAGTTACTGAGTGAATGAATGGTAGCGTAAAGGTTGTAATGTTGCTTCACCGCCTACTAAATCACCATTTCAGCAACATGTGCGTCTTCATATGTGTGCATTAACACCATAGAGATAATCATTAGAGTAACCAGCGTAGATAGATGCGTTTCTTTGCTTGGCCTACAGTTTGTTTGTCTCTACTAAATTAACAGTAGGAATCATCCTGATTTTGTTTTGCTGCTCTCATTGTTCCCGTATGATTTAGTTTGTTGTAAAATCCAGTGTAACCTAATTTCTACCTTAATTAACTTCTCATAAGACTTAACACGATGGAACTAGTGGCAGTAATGATTCTCTTGAGTCTATTCCCATGTGACTTTAAACACCTGCTAGATGCATGAGGAAATATAAACTGAGGACTTTCTTGATCTAATTTGGGTATTTCCTGCCTTCATCTAAATCGGTTGAAATGTTGTGTGGCAGACATTAACTTCTCCAGAATGCAACATTATGGATTCAAACCCAGGGTCATATTAGTAATTCAAAGCTTTCGTGTGTTACTAAGCTTTGTGAACGGCTGTGTGTGTGCAGGCTCTTAGATTTTAGTCAAACAGTTTGATTTCCCTTTTTATTTCTAGTGTAGGTTTGTGTTTTGTTCTCTGTTGTCAACCAACTCCATTCATAATAAGTTTACTTGTATGTTCTCTTGCAGCTATGCCAAAGGGGACCTGGATATTTCTTACATCACATCTAGAATAGCAGGTAGGATTGTTACCCTCCATAAAACATACTTAGAATAATCCTGGGCCAACAGCTTGAATGAAAGGGATGTGACATACGATCTTTTTGAGTAAAGAAATACACATGTGATGTAACAGTAACACATGCTTCTCGTGTGTGTGTGTTTGTGTCTTGGTGTAGTCATGTCCTTCCCAGCAGAGGGGGTGGAGTCAGCAATAAAGAACAACATTGAGGACGTCCGTCTGTTCCTAGATTCACGTCATGCTGGTCACTACGCTGTCTACAACCTCTCCAAACGATCCTACAGGCCTTCACGATTCCACAACAGGGTATGACGCGCGTGCATGTGTGTGTGTGTGTGTACCTGCGTGTACCTTCCAAATCATCTCTGTGCATGAGTTGTTTGTTTACACTGAACCTATAACAGTAGAGTTCTTCTACTTTATTTACTCATGTGCCGCTTAATGAGATTCTTGTTATTTAGGGGTTTATCTTTATTCGTTCCTGTAGGTTTCAGAGTGTAACTGGCAGGTGCGTCGTGCCCCCAACCTCCGCAGTCTCTACAGTGTGTGTAAAAACATGCATCTATGGCTCAAACAAGACCAGAGGAACATCTGCATAGTTCACTGTCTGGTAAGTAACCTTACTAAACGGCTGATCGATGGCTCCGTCCTCCCTCATAAGGTGAAGGATAAATTCTGCAACGTCTCCTATTGTTACCTTCACCTTTTCTCTCCCTGTAGGACGGCAGGGCAGCTTCTGCAGTGGCAGTTTGCTCCTTCCTGTGTTTCTGTCGCCTCTTCACCACAGCTGAGGCTGCTGTCTACATGTTCTCAATGAAGAGATGCCCTCCTGGCATAGCACCCTCACACAAGAGGTAGAAAACACCAACATTGAAATTATACATTTTCAAGCTTTTCTCTACACCAACATATTGTGTGTTTACTTCCACTACATGATCCTGGTCTTGCTTTTAATTGTTGCAGGTATATCGAGTATATGTGTGACATGATGGCAGAGGAGCCCATCATCCCCCACAGCAAGCCCATAACAATCCGCTCCATCATCATGACACCGGTGCCGCTGTTCAACAAGCAGCGCAACGGGTGCAGGCCGTTCTGCGAAGTTTACGTTGGAGATGAGAGGGTCCTCACCACGTCACAGGAATACGACAAGATGAAGTAAGATAACGCAGACAACAGGACGCCAAACAAATTCTCGTTCATGGAGGAAATACGGCAAAAACCTGTGCTTTCAATCTTTCTAAGAAAGAGTTTTGCTCTTTTCAGGGATTTTAAGATGGAGGATGGGAGAGCGGAGATTCCCCTCAATGTGACAGTTCAAGGAGATGTACTGGTGGTGATCTACCATGCAAGATCTACACTGGGAGGGCGTCTGCAGGCCAAGGTACAAACACACACACACACTGACACACAAGCTTGACTGGAAATGAACCCACAAAAATACCAGACACGTAGCAGATATAGAATTGTAGCGTGCATTGTATATCACATTTTAAATTCCATTCTGTTTTGTTCCAGATGGCATCCATGAAAATGTTTCAGATCCAGTTCCACACAGGCTTCGTTCCCAGAAATGCGACCAATGTCAAGTTTGCCAAGTAAGTAAACATCTTCACTGCTGCAAAGTTCATACTTCCTTCTTCATACCTTCAGCTATTCTAATAAGGCTGACTCTTCTGTTGTAGAAGTTGTAGAAGTACTGCCCACGTCACACTTGTACTGTGATCTCTCTGTTAACTTATTTCTCTTCTACCTGTTTGTCCCGTCAGGTACGACCTTGATGCCTGTGACATCCAGGAGAAGTATCCGGACTTGTTCCAGGTCAACTTAGACATTGAGATGGAACCCAGGGACAGACCCAGCACTAAGAGCCCACCGTGGGAGGGCTTCCAAACCAAGGGCCTCAACCCCAAAATCCTATTCTCCTCTCGCGACGAACAGCAAGAGATCCTCAGCAAATTTGGTAAGTGAGGCAGGTTCTAGGGTCAGGAGTAGTTTGATCTACTTTGTCTCTGCATCCGTTGCTCAAACCATTTTGGGGCCATGTTATTGTACAGTTTTTCTAATTCACTTCTAAATATGAACTATATATTAAACCTTATTCACTACAGGTAAACCAGAGCTGCCTCGTCAGCCAGGCTCCTCAGCATTTTATGATTCAGAGTCGTCTCAGCCGGTTCAGACTCCAGAGGGCTCCAGTGCAACAGAACCAGAATCTCCTGGGAGCACTGACCCCAACGCTAACAACTTTTTCCAGACACTGGATTGGGAAGGTACGTTCTGTCTAAAGAGGAGAGAGCTTTGCATTTTCTTTACTGCTTTAGTTTCCCCAGATAAGCTATAAGCTATAAAACATGATGTAACCTCTCTATGTACCAACTCCCTCTCTGAATGATTCCAAAGACAAAATCAATTCCTTTGAAAATACCCATCATTTGTTGTATCTGTAGATGTGAGTGGCCCCCAGGACGCCTCAGACAGTCAAGCAGGGGGATCCATGAACGAACAGGAGGACTTGAGTGATCAATCAGAGGGAGAGTCCTACTCCTACTCGGCCCCCGGTGGAGAGCCACTTTCACGTGACCCCAGCGAACCACTATTTGATGCTGACTTTGAGGTAAGGAGGTCTTGCCTGGCTGATTATAACATGCCAGTAATACCGTTAAGCTTTATTTTCTTCCTCCGTCACTCCATTAATTTCTAACTTTTCCTGGTTTCCCTATCTCCCCCTAGACTTCCCCCCCTGAAGCCCAGGAAGCTCCTGTCGGTGGCACAGCTGATCTCTTGGGTCTCAACTCTGACCCTGAACCTCCCTCCACGTCCTCCTCCTCTGCTCCTCATCAAGGAGTCCAGGGAGGAATGAAAGCTGCGTCCAGCAACAGCAACCTCCTTAATGATTTGTTTGCACCCCCTGCTGGACAGACCGGAGCTGTGCAGGAAGACTTGTTCTTCACTGAGACCACACCAGACTCAAAACGTAAGGTTCCAGGTTTAATACTTGATGATTGCACCGTTGTTAAAATCTTCCAGGTGTCTTACATGTGTTTTCTCCCTCCCGCTCAATCTCTGTGTTGCAGCCACGGGCGACCTGTTTGATCCGTTTGGGATGGGGTCCGGCTCTGGTGTCAGCTCCAGCGTGGGTTCGTCTCGGCAGGCCTCTGGACCGGACCTGTTTGGAAACTTGTTGGGTTCTGATAGTTCGGCCACCAGCGGGTTCAGTTCAGGTCATAGTAACCCCACTCCTGCTTCCAACACCAGCCTCTTCAACCTCAGTAAGTTCGACATCACTCAGCATTAAATCCGTCACAACGGTTCAGTGTTGTATCTTGAAGCAACGTGATGCAACTTGTTACCTTAAAACATCAGCCTCTATTTAACAAACACTGGAATGTGTCACATCCCTCCCTCGACTGACATTTTCTGAACATATTGTCTGATTGTGACATCTCAAAGAATCTTGAGTCTGAATCAGTGATACTTTGGTCATTTGTGTCTTTACAGATAAGCTTGTAAATGATGCCCCAAAGATGACATCCTCCGCCAGCCAGCCGGACCTGCTGAGTGGGTGGGACAGCTGGGCAGCCGGCACCAACACTGGCATAAGTAGCACAAGCAGCAAACCCAGCTACACCAACACAGGTAGGCGGAGGAACAACCAAGTTTGGGTTTGATTGTAAGTCTTCAGTGATGCTTCGAAAACTGTAAACCTCTAACTCGCACGCTGTCCCTCTGCCTGTAGCTGCTGGTGTGTCGTCCATGTCAAAGGCCAAGTCTCAGACCTTTGACCCCTTTGCCGACCTCGGAAACCTGGGGAACAATCTACCAGGTAAGACTCCTGCTCAGATATTCAGTTAGCAGTCTTCCAGAAATGGAAAGTGCCCTTAAAAGACAAAACCATTGTTAACAGACTATCATTCCTCCATGTTTCAGGACCTTCTTTTAGCACGAAGGCTCCTCCCTCCTCTGCTTCCTCCTCCTCCACCAAGCCTCAAGCCCAGCCCTGGCAGTCCGGCAGACCGGCCTCAGCCCAGAGCAAACCGTGGATGTCGGGATCAGGATCTGCACCCAAAGCATCCTCAGCATCTCAGCCTGCAGCAGCGCAGCCCACCAAGCCTAACTACAACCTCAACTTCTCTAGTGTCATCGGCGGGAGAGAGGAGAGAGGAGTCCGTGGGCCTGGATTTGGTAAGAAACCGTGAGCTGAGGGGAAGTGATTCGATGCTGGAGTTATGGATCGTGCAGAAAGCGTAGATATAATATCAACCACTTAAAAAAAGGGATTCGATGCTGCAACTCTGACATCATTTTATTCAGTTTTTTAGACGATCACAGAAGTTTATGATATTGTTTCGTCAATCTTCTTCAGAAATAACTCCTCTTGTATAAAGTCTGCCTGCATCTTTTTATTCAAAAGCAATTTCCTGTGCTCTCAGACTTTCCCTGTGCTGTGTTTGTACATGCAGGCCCCAAGCCGAAGGTGAAGCAGGATGATTTTGAGGACCTGCTGTCGACTCAGGGTTTTGCCTCTAAGCTTGATAAGAAGGGACCAAGGACCATAGCGGAAATGAGAAGACAGGAGATTACAAAAGACATGGATCCGCTCAAACTGCAGGTAACAAACTGAACACGTGTGGAGGAAGAAAAACACACGCTGCTCAAAACACATTCCTGAGGAGATGAAATGCAGATATGAGTTTGAATCAGTTTGATCTTTAGATAAGAATCAGTCTTGATCTTCAAGTCGCTTCATAGTGGGACAAAGTTTGCACTTGCCCTGCTAAAAAATATTAAAGTTTGTTTTATTGTCATGCTGCAGATCTTAGACTGGATCGAAGGGAAGGAGCGAAACATCCGCGCGCTGCTGTCGACGCTGCACACGGTGCTGTGGGAGGGTGAAACCCGCTGGAGGCCTGTGGGCATGGCTGACCTGGTGACACCCGACCATGTGAAGAAGTACTACAGAAAGGCTGTGCTGATCGTCCATCCAGATAAGGTACAGTATTAACACTCATTCAGCCAGGTCAGGAATAACAACAGGAGCTAATTTGAGCATTCAAGCGTTTCCCCCTCCCTCTCTCCACAGGCAACAGGCCAGCCCTATGAACACTACGCTAAGATGATCTTCATGGAATTGAACGACGCCTGGTCAGAGTTTGAGAACCAGGGATCCAAAGCACTCTTCTAAAAGTCTGGTCTGGATCCCAGCCCGGACTGGACTGGATTCGGCCTAACCAAAACAAGGGGTTAGACTGGACCAGATAAGACAGGACTGAGCCCACATTGGGCCTTAGGGGGCAAAGAGCCTCTGAGAGGTGTCCTCTCCACCATTCCCTTCACTCCCTTATTCCTTCTTTATGTTCTTCTGTTCCTACAGTCAAGGAAAAAAGACCTTTTGTTTCATGCCTGGCTGTGGTAAAAAAAAAAAAATCCTCACTGGTTATTAAAGTGCCAGTTAAATGTTGTGATCGTTCTTTAACTCACTGCCTACCTGTACGACTGCCTGAGTGGTGCTGCAAAGGACGGAGGAATGGGTGACAATCACACGAAGAAGACGCAGGGAAAGAAATAGGAAAAATATAAAGACTTTTGAAACTATGGAGACGATTAACAACATAATGGTATTCCAATTAAAAACAACAAAAAAAGATTTATTTATCCCTCACTAATACATGCTGGTGATTTGGGCTGTGGCTTGTAGGTTTGTCATTTGTGCTTGGCACCTTTGCAGAAAACCAGTCGTTTTTTTCACTGGTAAAAAAAAAAAAAAAAGGAAATGGAAATTTTCAAACCTTGATTTAGAGTTTTGAAGCTCAGCTGCCTCAAAAAGTAACAAACATTGCTGATGAAT